ATTCCAACTATATCTACTGTAAAGAAATTTCTTCGTCAAAACGAAATCTTACGAATTCTTCGAAGTGTATTTAATTCGAAGTGTTTGACTGACAATTAGAAAATATCCGGTTTCTCTTTCTTGCGTGAAGAAGCTTCACTTTGTAAAGATCAATTTCCCAACTTTAACTCTTTAAAACTGACTTCTACGAAGTAAACAGTAAAGTCTTTGTAGAAAGAGCAAATCTAATATCTCAGAACTGAAATAGACTTCAAAGGAATTAAAAAGAGGGGAAAGGTGCTTTAGTAAAATAAATCTTCATATAAAATATGAATGAAAAAAGGGTTTGTCCGCAGGTTAGAAATATGACATTAGTAATATGTGAAAAATTCATCGTGGTTACCTTTCCAGTACTCTATTTTTCGATCGAAAAACCTGTCGCATAGAAGTTTGAAATACCACGGTCGTTCCTATCGATAGCTGTTCGTAATCGAATAACAGGAACGTGTGTAGCGTGATGCTTTGGTAAACTATCGAAGTAGTTTAAAGCACCTGTACAAAATTAAATGAAGTCACTTGTAGAGTAATATCTTCAAGCGACTTGGTTCAGAAAAAAGAAAAAGAAAAATATATACATGTAAATCGAATAATATATATTTCGAGAAATTTACTCGTCGGATCTCGTGTGTTTCATTATCAAGTTTATTACTGCTATCTATGTAAGGATATTTATTAATATTGGTAACTTATAACTTATAAAATTTCACTAACAATGATATGTAGTTAAATTATACAAGAGGCTATTGTTTGTATTTATCGAAGCCATTTATTAAAAAAACATTTTTAATTGGATTCAAATTACGTTGTATAAAATGCCAGAATTCGTTTTATCGTACGATAACTATCTGTAGTAAAAAAAAGAACATAGACGTCAATCACGTTACAAATATTAGAATGTTATTATTGTTCAAATTTCTATATTGAAATTGAAAGACCAGCTTCTCTCATTGCCATCTAAAATTGAAATGTCAGAAAATTCCAAATATTATTTAATTTATATTAGTATGAAATCAGACTATCATTTTTTTGTTAATTTAGCATTTCAATTCCTGTTAGTTTAGTAATAATTGAAATTTATATCTTGCAATGCTTGGGATCAAGCGTACAGTAAAAATTGAATCACTCTGTCAGACGTCACTCATCTAACATCGTAAAAATAGATCACAAAAAATTATCCTTCCCGAAAATCTCTATTTTATGGCGTAAATAAAAGGTATGGCGTAAAATTGTAAGATAAAATATTACTATAAAATAAAACTTCAAGTCTAAAGAGGACAATAAAATGGTTGATTTATGTAACTTTTTAAGTCGTGTATTGTTCCTTGATTTTGATATTGAGAGATGTACTTTGGCCCAGTTTTCTACGCTTTTCTATTATTTATAGATGGTTTCATCTTTATGTAACACAAGATTCAGTAAATTTTAGTATTCACTCAGATTCAGTTTGGAATTTACTTTTTTCCTTACCTTAATCTAGGTAGGTAAAAATACCGTAACCGAATTTATCTTGAAATGGGTTAAGCTAATTTTTCTTCGACCTGGCTCGAAGAGTTCCTCTCAAGCTACTCCAACAGCTAGGTACACAAACTTGTCGCAGCGGCACACGACAAAAATCATAACAAAGTTTCCAAACGCAAATAACATTGTAATTTAAAATGCCATGTAAAGGATTTGATATTACAGCTACGAAAGTAGTGAGAAAATTTATTGGATCAACTAAAATTTCATTTATAAAAGATGTAATAGAACTTTAAGCGAAAAATTATGGAACGTTTATACCCTAGCATAATGCAATTTTTAATTTTACATGAATGTTATATACATATATATATATATATATATATATATATATATATATATATGACGATAGCTCATAGTGAAACAGAAACTTTTCATCACGTTCTAATCATAAATTACAAAATTCTAGCGAGAAAAGAGAGGGCGAAATGGTAATTTATGGAACATGACGATTTGAAATCTGCAACTGATGATTTTAAATATGCGCGAAAGGATGTTCTGTTCGGGTTCTACCTCTCTGATTGTCTCTCTGATAGAAATTTAAATTTGCATAAATATTTGTTGTCTGTTAATTAGGCTGGAAAGTTAGCAAAATCGTAGGAGGATTAAAATCGACGCGAGAAGTTATTTCGTTTTCGGGGTGACGTTTATTGTGAATTCTAACTGCGTGATGCATTAGAGGAGCATTAGTATTCGTGGTCCCGATGCGTTCGTACACTCTGAACGTGATATGGCGCGTGGCGCACGATGCACAGGGCACAGTGCAATGTCAAAGGATCTCGCTTGGCTCTATAGATACGATGTAATACAACGCGAACGTGTAATCACTGCCAGTTGCGACGGTTGTGTACATATATTTTGACACATGTTACATAGCCACGAAAGCCACATCACTCAAACCGAATGGGGTAATCGTTATTGCGCAAAATTTGATGGACTGTTACTCTGAAATCCAGGTCTGCCTCCCCTGTATTTGTCATGGGAATTCTTGTTAATGGGGATTTAATCCGTTCATTCTACCATTATTGATCGATATTTATTTTCCTCCGCGAAGAACCTGGTTGATCACATTAGAATATTATACTATTTAATTTTTTATTCGTAGATACTTTAATTCAATTAATGAGTCAAAATAATATCTATTACACTTAGTCATCCAGAGAAAGTTGTGCTATCTATATGTATGTACATACAACCAGTATGATTTTAGATATCGTAACAAGTTCATCACATTAGGTAAGTAAATAAAAAGATGAAATTATTTTGTTCGACTCCTTTAAACATCTAGTGTTATGATTCGATATTGTGACCATACTCATTGAAATTAATTATTTGTATAACTTCGATCTAATAAAATTTTTTATTATGGTACAACTAACTATTTAAATGGAAAATATAAATCTGCAAGAAATCCTACATGGTTCAATTTATTTCATCATAAATTATAAATTATATAATTCACATCAATCAGTAAATTATAATAATCGAATTATTGTACGTATTAAGATAATATTATAAGATCCGACTGTTTGCAAAGCTATAATTGAAAAATAGTATCATCATAGCACGATTCAAGTATATAAAAGATTTCTGCACGATTACTAAAATTTCAATCGCATCGTTAAGTTTCTATCTTGTCTCCACAGAGTTGACTCTCTACAATATTCCATAACACTGATCGTATCGATACACGTTTGAATGAGAAGAATCGTATCGTCCAGAAATCTAAATTATTGATAGGTGATTAAACTTTTAACGTCTGAACACGGCCAGAACGCCGCAGGCTGTCTCGAACAAAGCCGAATCCATTGAGATCGAAGGCTTTTGAAACGCGAAGAAGAGAGGAACGAAGAATACCAACGTTTCGACCAGAGGTAGTTCCAGAGAGCTTTCATACAGATATCAAAAGGAACTCGCGAAATAACGTTCACGACAATAGGGAAACTCACCGTCATTCTTTCGCCAGTCTACCAAGCTCTGAAGCCACAATGCGGTAAATACATTGCGAGTCACTTATAAACTAGCACCTTAAACAACTTCTACGTTTACAATTTCGAGACAGAGTTGAAAAAGAAATATCCTTTCTTCGCTTAGAATATGCAGAGGTTAATACTTTATCATTTCTAAGATTTAGACAATTTTTTAAATTGTTTTAGAGAATTTAGAAAATTGTTTTCTTCGAATTTTTATGTTCTAGTCTTATACCTGATTCAACAGAAAAGAAGCTCTTAAATCCATCAAGGATCAAGCAGTGAAGTAATATAAAAAGTGTAATAAATAAAAAGAAGGACTATGATTTGAAAAAAAGACACAGTTTATCATATTGCTGTGAGATACTTCAGTTTCTTCAAGTTTCATAAAATTATAGCGTCTAAGAAGAAATAGTAGTATAGTATGAAACAGATTCTTGGAATTCTTTTTCATAATCGCTATATAGGTTCGATAGAATGCAATAATATGAATTTATTAAGAGGAAATCAATGGAAAATGTTGGAAATAAAAATTAGTAATATGTTGCGTTAACGCGATGCTGATCCTTAATGAGTTAATGATTGATAAAGAAGATTCTACTATGAAATTGATAGAGTCGAAAATAAACGAAAGAAATTCATAATGATAGGTTGTACAAAACTTTATAATTTTATATAACCTTATTTGCAATGTGTGATAATACGACGGTGTGATCAATTTTGGAAATATCTAAATATATATAACATTCATTAAAATACTCGCCCACTGAAAGAATGATCAACACAGAGTTTCACTTTGCATAATTATACGATAACCACAGAAAGTATACTATGTTTATCATCTCTCTGAATCAAATTAAAATAACTTCCTATATATTAAATGAATGAATCAACAGCTTCGCTTCATAAAATTGTATTACTTGCAGCGCAAGTACAAATTAATAAATAGCTTTAATAAAATTCGCATTATCATGAACAATTATCATGAGCAAAATTCTATAATTTGATATATTCCATTGGAACAAAGAATTAATCTTTTGAAAAAGATATTGCCTGTAAAAATAATTCAACTCCTTATTACAAGTATTACCAGAAAATCGATTTATTTCAATTTCGCAGACAAATGGTCTAAACTCGTGCATTTCGATTTGGTTGGGTCGAATGTGTGAAACAAAAGATCACCTTTCGAGCTTGTTCCTGCATTAATTCTGCTTAATTTGTGCGACGAGACGTTAGACAAATTCATATTCGAGAGTGTTATTATTTGCGGCAGACAATGGAACGAGATGAATAGATGACGATGATGCGGTAGTAAGACACGTTATCGTCGTACGATTGACACAGTCGTTTCGATCCTCGATAAAAGATCGATTACCGCTTTGTGTATCTACCACTAATGAAAAAAAAGAAAAAAAAAAGAAAAAGACAAGGTAGTACGTAGAATAAATAACAGAAGATGGATCAAGCACTGACCTCGAGGAAGTCCTTCACCGTGGTATCGACGACCATAAGAGGTCGTTGAATCAAGTGGACTACACCGTTGCGCACTGGAATGTTCGGTTTAATTATTTCTGCTAACACGACTCCTGTTGGATGTCTCACGTCGCCAACTATGGTATTCGATTGCACGTAAACTGAAAATAATATTAACAATTATTAAACCGAACGATGCATTATGCTTGCACGAAGTACGACTAGGTAACGCTGCTGTGGAATTGATTACGAAACGAAACGATAGCCAAAATTAATTCTTTGGTAAATAATTCCCGGACTGATTTTATGTTCGATTAAAGTCGTTTTTGGTTGTACCGCAATGTTTTTCTTGTTATGTATTTGCCTATCGTTGAGTAGATGGTGATTTGAAAAGAGAATTCAATTATTTTGAATTACGATGAAAAATTGGTAAGTTTATATTATATGTATTTGATATTTACACACCTAGAAATCAGTGATAATTTCTAGTTAATAAGGCAGTAATTATTAGTTAATGATGCAATCGATAATAATTACTAGACTAGATAACTACTACTTACTAGATAACTTCTAATGCATAGTTTTCATAAAACTTGAGACATTCATAAAGCAATAAAAAAATAGAAAGACACGTATTTTTTAACCGCTATAATTCAAGTTTAGGGGATAAAACTACTATCCAAAGTTCCACTTCTCTGATGTTATCCTAGGCACTACCGGAGATAGGGAAAAAGTTTTTCAAACAAATATTTTATAGCTTCTGACGGACAATAATATGATATAAGGGTCTGTGTCATGAAACTTTAAAAGATAGTCGCAGCTCTCAAATTTACTTTCAGAGTATACTCAATCAGATATCATTATATCTCTGAAAACTTTTAACTCGATTTATCAAAATTTAAGCTAAAATCAAATATTCCTTCTATATATAACATAGTTTAAGAACTTAATGGCAGTGAAGATAATTTGAGGACATTAAGTTGCAACAAAACTTCCTAATATATATAGAGTGTATCACTTAAATTCAACACTTAAATTATTTCATCTATTTGATGTTCTTATGACGTTATTTTATGACGTTTAAAAAGTATATTTAACGATAAAAAGATTTCTCTCAAGATCGTCTTGAAGATTCTTCTAACATCACTAATATTTTCCGCATATCAATGTTTGTTTTAACATATCAAACAAATCTTTTTATCATCGTCTCAAGTAATAAATTTCATGTGTAACTTTTAAATGAGATACCCCATATACTAGACTCTTTTTAAGCGGCAAAGATAACAGTTATTGGAGTTTTAGTATTCGTTAAGAAGATAAATGGAAACGTGCTGTGAAGAGTTTATATAATTTAATTTCGGCAAATTGCCTTTCCACATCAGTCTTCATTTATATCACTAATGCCTTCACTGTGTCCTCTAAAATGGATGAAAACGTCGTTTAAAACTTTCCTCCTCTACTTAAATTTTAATACGCATTTTATTAATTTCACTAATACTATGGTTCATTGTAAGTTTATCAAATTTCCTATAAAATGTGATCACCTACCTTTATCGTGTTCCTTGAGGAAGCTAACGGTGACCTTGACGTTGTCAGTGAACGCAAGGGTTTCATAAGGTACATTGTGAGGTGTCGGTGTTGTGAAGAGGACGTTGTTGGGTATCACGTGACCATCAATTACCACGCGGTCAACCTTCTCCGGCCTGGGCGTCGGCTGTAAAAGAACAAAACGAGTTTATGGAAAAAAAGAATGCTGCTATAACTTTTTTGAACGTGCTCTATAAATCTCTCTCCATAAACATTTGATTATAATATAAAATTTTTAATAAATTTTATATCATGAATTTTAAATAGATTTGTATTAAATAATTAAAATATTATTATATATATAATAAATTATAAATAATTAGTAAAAAAAATGTATAGAAATTCTATTTTAGATTATAAATGAATTTTATTTAAAATTGAAGCTCGAATATATTTTTTAAAGCGAGTTGTATTTCATGTTTTATTTTTCATTTGCTCGGAAAATGGACCAGTTATAGAAAATAATCGAGATTATTTTAAGAATTAAATTCAGATCGCATAACCCATAAATGAAATTTGAATTTTGTTTAGAAATCAACTATTTCTTGGAAAAATTCCTATTTTCATATGTGTAGTTAATCATTCAGAATCTTCTCTATTCTTTACATGAAGTTGTTTTACTGTCAAAGAGCGAACTACATGCATAACTATTCGATCACAACAAATTCTACGCATCAATTCTCAATATCGAGGCTCGATGAATTTTTGGTTATGTAGATTTTCAACTGAACCAACAATTACATATACATATTTATGTTCAAAAGTGTCCCTCGAAACTGTTCGAGTTACATAAATCTTGACTACCTATTGATCGGATTTCCGATTGAACATGTTTTGGACTGCTCAATTTCCCGAAACGTGTAGATTTCCCGACTTTTCAAATTCGTCGTGAAAACGTATTGAATTGGAAAGGTTTTCGGTTACTCGGATTTTCGATTGCGCATGTTCCAAATTATTCAGCTTTCTGATTGTACGAGCTGCCTCCTAGTGCAGATTCTGCACTGCTCGATTCTCTGATTGCACCGGTTCTTGATTGACAGGATCCTCGATGATACAGATTGCCGCGTATACAAGTCCTGTCCCATATGAATTCACGATTAACGAAATTTGGGATAAGGCAGGAGCTTTGAATTGAACGCGCACTTTGTTCTAACTGCGTTTTCGTTTAACTTGTAATTAACATGAATTTAATTGTGCTCCTGTTAATGTTTCATCAATGTTGATATGATTAAACGTTAATTCAAATATAAATTATTTCACTATATTAATACATAAATATTATTTCATCATATTGATACAGTATTGCCATAATTAGTGTTAGTATACCGTAGAAAGTAAAGTTAATTAGTTAAATTATTACTAAAAGATAAAATGGTTGGCTAAAAGTAACGAAAAATTATCCATTCACTTTCCAAGTTTACATTATAAAGATCATAGAACGATTATAGATATACTATCTTCGAACGATTAGTTTTTTCGAGAAAATAAAATTCCATTACTATTGTTACAAAAATATATCATGTATAGTAAATCACCTAGCACAATATGATCTCTATTTATATTTCATAAATAGTTCAAGTTATTTCCACCACTCTTTGCTAGAAATAATTCTTAATTATATCATTACAAGTTTTCTAGCATCCGAAAATTCATTAACTTCGAACGTATCCCAGCCATGATGAAACCATGGCCTAACAAGATAATGCAGCATGTTAACATCACAAAACAATACCCAAGAATTCTCGCTACTTCCCCTAAAAGCAGCGAAAACATTTAATTAACCGGTCGATAAGACATTGCGTCTCATTAATTACTTGCACTTTCATGCTGAAACATTTCAACCCCTGTCCCTCCCTTGGTTTCGTCTCTGGCGGCGTCTGTCCCACAGGGATTCTGGCTGGCTCTAGTTCACAGGGTCCATGTAAACGGCCCCTAATGCGGTGTAATCGCGTAAAACCGCGGAGGCGAACAACGACGACGTCAAAGACGCACAAGGGTGCGGCATTGTTACAGTTGTTCGCAAAAGTATTGGAACGCTTGTGGACCTCTTTTCCGAATATATCATCTACGTTACACGAAATATTCGAAAATTTCATAAACACTGTAACAAGATCAAACTATCATGACTAGACCGCGGATTTTTACTCAAATTCAGTAGAAAATTGTTTTATCTACCAAGTATTATAGGAAGCATTATGTTTTGCATATTTCATATTATGTGCATATTATGAAACTCTGCGCTATCAAATTTTCTATAAATACATGAAAGTCTAATTACGATCATGTCGATAAAGTTTCATACAAATCTAAAAATGCACATAGAAGCTACAAAGTATTTAACGCAAGAATATATTCCGCGAAGATCACAGAGAGTGCTGAAACAGTTAATTATTCATTATATCAATAAGCCTAAATATTCAGTACTGCCGTTTCTAACACTCGCTACATATTTCCTTAGAACGATTGTTCTAATACACCAATTTTCTATTGAGTAGCTATGTTTGTACCAAATATCTTGTAACTTTGTCCACATAATTTTCAGATTGCTTTCGAGTTTTACCATTATAACCATGACGATCGTGTCTCGTTAGTGTTAATCAAATTTCGAAATGTTTTACACAACACGCACAATATACGCACAATAATGTTCCATGGTAAATATTGAAATACTTTCGTGAGCTACTGTACGTGTACCTATTCGAGGGATAACACGGGGCAACGAGCCGAGTAAGGACGCGAAAATAAAGCATCGACTCACCGGACCGATGATTATACACGTCCCTCATTATCGATTGCGCGCGTGTAAAAGGTCATTCGAGTGTAAAGGATGAGGTCGCTATGAACGATTGATTTCCGATTCGTGATAAGGCACGGCTACGTTATACGGTCCATCAGAGTCGTATTAAACGCTGACTATCTTGTTACGACCGTGTTGTTCCTCACGTGACAAGGACAAAACGTGTCACTCTGTTTTCCACGATCGAGATTTCGAGGGTGGCTGCAGGCTGCTCGTTAACGCGCGTCGCTCCACTTAAGGGGCGTTCTAGAATGCGAAGAAGGATGAGTCGGAGTATACGAGTTTTAGAAGTCGGAGAGTGGTAGGTAAGGGATGATTTTTAGAGTGTGTCGTTTGATGTTTGCGCGATTCTTCTTTGAAGTTTCCTTGTCTCGTATTAGGCGTGACTTCGTTGACGGTTATGAGATTAATATATTTTAGAAATTGTCAATCTTAAAATATCAGCAAAGATTGATTCTCAAAACGAGTTATTTTTTTCAATATGGAAGGGTACAGTGGTTATAAAAATTATTTGTATACCACTGTATTTATTATATTATCAAGCAAGTATATTAAATTTCGTATTATTTAGTAGCACTTTCATATGGCTACAATAATTTGATACTGTGAAAATAAAATATAGAGCTCGATGGAAGAAACTTCATGCAAAGTAAGTGTATGTAGTACAATTACTTTTTGTTGGTATTCCAGTTATTTTATCTAATAACGTTATTACACGCGTTACAAGCTTTTGCCACGAGTGGAAAATTGGCTTATGTATTGTTTGCAAATCATTAGCAATGGAGAGAATGTACCTATATTATATAAATGAACCAATTACGATATAAATGGACTATTATCGCAAAATAATTTTTTTTATATATACCTTTTTTAAAACCATTCTATCATTTCTTGTTAACGAAATAGATCATGTCAATATCTTGACAATAAAATTTTTAAGTAATAAAACTATATGTGTCATTCAGAGAACACATAAAAAGGTCAATATTACGAATGCAATGTTGTTATGTACGTGATTCGCTTGTTTTTTATTGCTTTTCGTAGAAACAATCTCAGAAAATGCAAGCGTTGTGTACCAGGCGACCATAGTCGCTCGTAGGAAACTCGTATACATCCACCGTTTAAACTTTAAGCATTGCAAGATATTTATTCGGACAGTAAAAGCAACAAATCTCATAAAAAGATACCGTAAAAGTTTCAACGAAAGTTAATTCACCAATAACGAGCGTACTAAAATGTTTACGTGCAACGTAATTCACAGGACAATGAGAAAAATGGATAATTTTTAATGCGCGAAAGCGGTCAAAGCTGGAAGATAAAACTTTTTAAACTTTACATTACATATTCAAGAATATTTAAATCTGTCTTTGAAATCACGTAAATGGGAGTTTATTTTAGTTTACTATTTATCTTAATCTGATGGAGATTTATAGCTTTACTCATGAGACACGAAAGACGAAACTTTTATATACCAATATTTTACGAAATTTAGATATATTTTACTTGCATTAAATAACAACCATTTCGATATGTAATACATACATTTCGATTATTTCATGTTCCACGCGATGGGGTGAAAATATTACAAGTTAAGTAACAACTATCAGCTATAAATATTCTTAATAAAGAAAAGTAATTCTCCTCACCCCTGTTCGGATTTCTTTCACTGAGATACAAAAGCGCGCTCGAAAACCACAATCAAAGCCACTTTCAAGCTGTTCACTCGTCAACTTGTTTTACGTTCCACTCTCGGATTCTTTTCTCTATCTTCTTTGTTCTTTTTCCTTTCTACTTTACATCCAGTTTTTCAAGATATAACCCGAAGCAATGGAATTCTCCAAGTTGCGGTGCAAAATCACCTTCGTATTAAATCTCGCCACGTTGTTCGTTCTTTCGTTTCACGATGAAATCACAGATAGTGAATATCTGATTTAGTAATTTTCTACTTTATTAAATAACGTTGAGAATGTACATCGCAGTATTTCAAAATTGCCACGATTGAAGATGATACGGTTCTGTGTTAAATGTGTAATTTTAAGGATTAAGGGTGGAAAATTGTAGACATAATACTTGTACATTGTATCCTAATGTCTATCGTTTTGCTGACTTTACATTTTTAGCAAATAATTTTTGTTCGAATGTTACCAAATAGTTCCTCGCGAAATATCCAAAAATTTTAAGATGTAGAAATCTGACTACTTGGAAATGTAAAAACTTGAAATTTAAAATATTTGAAAATAAGATGTCGCGTTACTGTAACGTTGGTCTTTAATAAGTTAATAATTATTCCAAACGTCGAACGTTCACCGTTCTATGAAAATTCTTCTATCTTTCTTTCCTTCTTTTTAGGGTTCGGAAGGTTGTTCGTGCTTCTCCGGTATTTCTTAGAATCGTTCCAAGACTTTATTTCTACCACTCACTACGCGGATTCTTCTTCCGTTTCAGCTAATTCTGGATGCAGCCAGCAAAGCTGTACGTGCCTCAGAGTTTCGCAGAATTATTCACGATATCATGTAAGATGTAATCACGCAACGCAGCTACCGACGAAACGATTTCGTTCCTTCTGTTTTTCTCGTGCCCCGTCGCCCGCACGAGAGAAAATTGCTCGCACCGCTACCTCAAGAAATAAACTTCTTTCTTTCCTTATCTGTCCGCCCCATAGTTTGCTTTTTCTGTAGATTTTTATAAGAACAACAGAGAAGTACGCGTAGAACATATAATAGATAAAAGTTGTGGATTTTTGGCAATGTGTTCATGCGTTTCATGAATTTATTTAATCTTTTTTTAGAAATTTGTTAGAATAGTTGCATAACTTAAAAAAACAAATTTTTTCAGAAAATCAGTTTGAAATAAAAAGTTTGAAGTAGAGAATTATTAATTATACTCGGTTATGTGAAATAATGAAAACTTTTTCCTTTAGAAATGTATTGTTAAAAAAATTGTAATAGTAATATTTATGATTTAACATAAACTCGTAGATCTACTTAGCCTGTAGTCGTTAGAAAGAATTAAAAGGACTGTAAAAAGTTCCGAGAAGTTGCGAGTGAAGTTTTCAACAAACTTATGATCCTGTTCATCGTGTTGCAATGATATACCTGTCAGAATGTGGAAAAATTTAATTATTTCCATTCCCAGCAAAATTACATTAAACTTCTTCTTTCTGTTAAACGTTTCTCAGATACTTTCTCGTTCTCACGCAGAACGTTTTCTCGTCGATTACTTAGCGGACATTTTCTGGCGGAGATTCGTTTTCTAAAAACACGAAGACCATTCGACCAAGTGTTCACGTTTCTCTGTTATTAATTCAACCTCTCTTTCTTTCCGTATTCTTTGGTTGGTAATGGCTGCGTTGATGATCCTACATTCGATCGAAGAAAATAGCATCGACGTGGTTCAATTAAAAAATCCTCATTGTTTATCATGTTAACATATAAAAATTGAAAATTGCAAGGTTATTTTATAATTGTGAGACGCAGTTTATCATATGCGTACCTATATTTTGTTCTAATGTTTGTTTCTTTTCTCACAAATATATAAAAATCTAAATTCGATGATAACGAATTATATTAGTTTCATATTTTATAATTATCACTTCCGCCAGCAGTGAAACTTTCCATTAATCTTCTCCTTTCCCCTGAACCTGTCTCAAACAATTTTACGTTTTCAAAGCAACTGTCTTTTCTTCGATTTCCCAAACATTCGTCGGAGGTGAAGGATTCGTTTTCCAAAAACACGAGGACCATTCAACGCTCGCCATTACTAATTCAACCCTTCTTCCTTCTGCAGTCTCTTCGATTGGTAACGATCGTATCGACGATCCCATGTTCCAAACTGCAGCAAAGGAAGCTGTGGCTCCTTTCGTTCGCATCGAACCATCGACGTCGTTCGATTGGAAAAGCTGCGTCGACGACGTGTCGCGTCGAGTGCTTTTCGATACGGCTCGATCGCTCTCCGTGAACGGAACGAGGCTTTTGAGGGCCGAAACTTGATTCCTACACGCCCTCTTCTTTCCTTTATATCGAGATCACACACCCACACATAGCCAACAGCTGATGTACATTGTGCAATCAAGCTACGAATACGTATCCGATATCGTGAACGCTACCGAACACACGTTGTTGGAAATTTTTGGGGAAGCGTAGCACGATTTTTCATGTAGTAATTTCCGCTTTACCATCACAGAATATGTACCCATTCTTTTTTTGCTGCGTTTATTGATTTTCGGGAACGCTGATCGCCGATGGCGGAATCTGTTTGTTTCAATTTTAGCTGCTGATTTTTCGGATTTTTACATCCGGGAAAAATTATTCGGTTTTATTGGAACATGTATCGGGATGTTTGTTGCAGGATTTTATTATTTAGCATGTTGCGATTTCGGATTTTTATGTGTTTGCGAAGGTTATTTGAATAATGATAAATAATCCCGTGGTGGTACGTTAACGAGGGATGTAAAAATTATTTTAAGAAACATTTTCAGGAAATCAGTTTGAATATTTTTATAATTTAGTCCAAAGTTTATTCCTGGGGTTTTAAGCCGCTTTAATAAGATATTGCTTATGTCTGTCCTTTATTAGTAAACAGAAAGAGGGTAAAATAGTTTTCGTAAATTATGAAATTCTTCTTATCAAACAGTACAATTTTATTAGATAAAATAATGCAAATAATTCATTTGCAGAGTTCATTTTCAAAACTAACGAATTCTTAAATGTGCCATTTTTCTAAAAAAAAAACTTATCATACGTAAGTATTTCCTTAAATATGTCACGAATAATAATATTTCTTTCAAATTACTGTAAATTAGCACTCAGAAAAGGGTCTGCTTATGAAACAACCTACAAAAATTCCGCACCGACATTACATAACACACTCCTACAACACTGAATCTCTTAACAAACTCGAATATCCAACGCATTTGCCGCAAGAACAGAATAAAAGTTGAACAAGAATCAACGAAACGAGAAAACGAGGTGCATATATGATTTCTGAAAATCGACTCTTCACTCCTATAGTTCCTTTAACCTGGTTCTAGAAGGAACTTTCGGAAATAACCCAAACTTATTTCCAAGTTTCCATTTCCTTATTCAAGAGATATCTTTCGACGCTCAACATTTTTTACACGTTATATGCCATTCTCCTGATCGTTACGCGGAGCTACAGCAAGTTACAGAAAATTCTGTTCTAGATTTCACACCCGAAGATTGATTGCATGACCCGTAGAAATTGATCGAACGCACGCGACTTTAATCGCGGAATTACGAAAAACCGGAGCTGGTAAATTACCGATCGTATCTGCTCGTTGCATTGTCGTTGGTTACCCTTGTGTTATTAACTTTGCCTATTATAATTCAACGGGCTTGTTCGCGGCGCGCCATCGATTTTTTTGTAATCTTGACGCTCTCGTTTAACGTTTCACCTTTCCTCGTAGATTTTCCTAGGGATAAGAGGAACGCTCCGCGATCAAATTTAATTGACCGCCCACTTAGCAACTGGTAATTTTCTGCTTCAGTCGATCTGCTGTTCTTTTCTCAGGAAAATTTTCCGATAAGAGTTCGTGGAAATAAAGAAAAATTGTATAAATGGAGATACGCTTGATCGTACGAACCTTGTTCATTTATTGCTAGATATGCTTGAGTAAGAGTATTAGAACGGTAGAGTATTGAGTCTGATTATGAACGCTCTAATTCACTTACATTTCAATTGAGCAGAAGTTTGTACGGGCTTGGTTTATGGAGAGACATTTCTGTTTCACTGACGTATTTCTCGGATAAAGGTATGTTTTGAAATAACAAGATAAATAATTTCTATTGTGTCTGATCTCGGATCGTCTAATTCATTTAAATCTTAATAACTAGAGAAGGTTGTAATGTTTTGGTTTATAGAGAGAAATTGCTGATACGTATATAATTCTCGCTGAAGTTTGAATAAAATATTGTATAGTTCTGATTCTAAAAGTGTTAAATTGATAGAGAATTGTGTGCGATGTAATTTACTTATGGATTTAACAAAGGGAGAAGTTTATAACGTTTTGATCCATAGAGAAAAATTTCTATTACAATGGAAACATTTTTAAGTCTGAATTTGATTTTCAATAAAATCCGGATGAAATATTTCATTCATCGTTTATTGAAATTTGTAAATTCTCGTATATACAAAAATTTTTTTCTTTCATTTCGTTCAATTAATAACTCCAAACTATATAGCTAAACAAATCTAAAAACAACACTATTTTTCAATTGTTAATCGATTAATTAAATTGTTGATTGATTTTTATATTAATTAAGAAAGAAAATAATCTATCCAAAGATCATTTGATACGTGACAGATTGCGATCTGTTCGAGAATTCGAAATAAACACAAAACGTACTCTGCTGTTTTATTTTAATGCCAGTTCTCACCAGCAAACGACTATTGAGATCGATAGTCGCGTAGAAATTTTTGTAATGGTAACTGAATTAGTTTTGTATGGATTTCCGCTTCATCGGGAATGTAATCGATCAGAATCTGTCACTTCCGGGGACGAGTAGAACCAGTTGGTATGTACTGAATCCTTTCAAAGGTTTCGCAACAGAGGATATTAAGGTCCTTTCGGGATGATCGATATGGGAAGGTTGCTAAGCAGCTTACCCGGAAACCCTCCTCAACGGGGATAAGAAAGGTGTAACGTCCGTCCGCCTTGAAGACTTCCTCCTTCTTCTCCGTCAAGATCCGCTTTCGGAAGATGCTGCAAGAAAGTCGGGCTCGTTAATTGAATATAGTTCTCCTATTTTTTCCTCATGTTTTTTTATATAGACGAAACAAGATTTATTGTTTTATGAAAGTGAAGGTTATAACGTTTATAGAAAAAATGAGTCTACTTTTCTATTTGAAAGAAATAGTAAGAAATTAATTAAAGTAAAGTACATTGTTGTGTAACATAACAACTATTTTGAGAGAAATTGAAAAAAAATGAATAACAATAAAGGTTCATACACGTAACAAGATGATGATCGCAGATAAAATTGTGGAAGAATTAATCTTATTCTTCATGAAGAACATAGTAGAAAATAAATAAAAATTATTTGACAATTATTTTATTCTCCACTTGAGAAAAATACTGAAAGCAAATAAGAATAAAGGTCTATAGATGTAACAAGACTGTCGTTTCAAGTAAAATCCATAGAGCAAGTAATTTTATTTTCATTTTTATAGAACATGTTAGAAATTAAGTGAAACTAAGAATTACATGACAGATAAAATGTATAAAGGATTTCTCTTTCTTTGTTGACATAATTTTACAAAGGAATCGCGTTAAAGCTAAAATAAGCCATTTCGTACAGTTTCATTTATAAAACTTCATCATAATTATTGAAGATTTATAAATATAATTCTAAATGTTGCGCTTGTTATTATATAAAAATCATTTTATATATATTATTAAACGTAATTGCGTTTCAAATTGACTCTTCGTTATTCATTTTATATTCCACTAGACCGTTCAATACATTTTCAATGAATAAAATCATTTATAAATTCATGGCGCTCGATAATCTCTTATCGACTGAAGCTGAACACAGGAATGCATTGTGTCCTTAATTGCGTCGAATTCGTAGGTGAAATTAAAGGGGATTGAATTAAAATGTGAAAATTTACGCGCGAGAGGTGATGAATCCTTTCGAAATGATTTATTAACAAAGTTTTTCGCGCAGGTATATATGGAAAAAGTTGGGCTCTGCTTTATGTTGCAAGAACAAGCGGAAACGTTGTTCAGCGTACGAACGGTAAATGAAATGCAGCGAAGCTTAAAGAACTTTAGAAAGGGTGAAGCTAATTCACTCGAGTTTTACTTACTCAGATGGCAAGCACCACGGCACCGAGACTTTAAATATCGATAAAGACTTGACAAAGTGAGCATCGAAGTTACTTAGGAAACAACTACGAAAGTTGCATCTTCATCTTTTGGCCAACGTGAGTAGGCTTCGTCGATGTATTTCACTCGCGGAAAAGAAACTACACCCGATGAGTGGTAGAAAGCAATAAATGATATTGAATAATAAAGAAAACGAATAGGATTATCATTGTTTTAAGAACGATAATAAGAATTGACGAAAATAATGAAATTTGATCTTTATGTTTTTATTATAGAAAGAGTCCAATTATATAATTTTAATTAGAAATAATATTTAACAGAATGTAAGGATGAATAATAATTTAAAGTATATTATATTTCTATATTACTGTTTTGAATATATTCTTGATATTCCGTATTTTATACTTATTTAGAAATTAAATCATCTATTTTATATTTGACAAGAAATAATATTTAATAGAAATTTGAACAGACGCGAATAATAATTGTATATTGCGTTTTCCTATTAATATTAAAATATTTTCTCAGAAAAGATTTTACGGAAGAATCATAAGTGTGTTATGCTTCGGTCGATGAATATTTTGAGAGGAAATATCTTACCAGGGAATTCAAGTTAATTTGTTACTTGAATAACTTCCGTTAGAATTCGGAAGAGAAACACAGTTATCGAAGAAAAACAAAAGAATTATTGCTTACCGAACACGATGAACACCCAAGTCGAGATTTTCACTTTGATTTAGAAATTCGAAGGCGTTCGGGCTATAGATTGGCATTTCCGCGGAATTCGAGCGTACTGGCTCCAATACTTCGTTTATTATGTGTAAAACCTGAAACATATTAAAGTAATATTTTATGTATACTGTATATTGTTTATCAGATTTCTTTGTGGTAACGTTATTTTATATTATTGCCTACAAATATTACTTATATTATATTTCGTTCTGTATAATTTCAATCTGAAATTGTTATTTTATTAAAGAATTTTATGTAACATTATGTTATGTACAAAATAAAACGCTTATTATCATAACATTTATATCAAATAGATTAATAAACCACCTACATATACCATTTATATACAAATCATAATTTTTGCTTTTAGTCGACCTAACTTATATATATACATTGTATTGTAGATCTTTTTTTTAATATTAATTATTAGTTTCCAACATGAAACATATTAGAATGTTAAAACCATTAGACATACTTCGTAATGTCAGAGATTTCCGATCATAAATTTGGATTTTGCAATATTCTGATATCATACCACTGAAATATGTTCCATTCAAATGACCATTCTATCGATGTCTATCAGAAGATGAGTCGTACACTTTCGAATGACTTGATATAATTTATATCGATTGAATTGATCGAATTTTTGCCGAATCGATTTGGCGTGTGCACCACGTTTAAATTTCTGCCGCATTTTCTCGCGTAAGTCAGGGATTGACACACGAATTTTCCGATAAAGCTTTGAAACATCATATCGTTTACTCGTGTTACCGGTATCCAGGTCAGACATCCTTTCAAAAATTCACCCGATTGTTAATCTCGCTGACGACGTTTGGATACATAAATTGATAAATGAATTCATTGTCGCGAGATAATTTTAAGTTTGTCTAATTAAGAACGTCCTACTCAGTCTCCTTTATAAAGTAAATTTTGATGCTTTTTTACGTCTATTTGAATTCACTTAATGAAATTAAAATATGAATAGTAAAATAAGAATATCGTGAATGTTATATCATATAAGCGGTATCGTTTTTAACAAATTTATTATTTTAAAAGTCTTTAGTTCTCTTTCAGATGGATATCATTTCTTTAGATATCGTAACGAATATTCTTGTATACTTAGCTTAACTAAGTTATTAAAAAAAAAGAATTTGTTAAAATAAACTTAATTATTTTAACAAATTCTTCAAAACTTAATATAAGAATTTATATCCTCCTCCTGTTTAAAAAAAATATTTTAATGTTTGCCTGTCTGATCACAAGACGAAAATATGAATAAATGCGATTGTATTGTGAATAAAATGTATATGAATGGAATCATATATAATATAAACATGTAATTTAAAAAATGCATACGTATTTGTAACTGGTGCTCATCAAAAGGTTCAATAACATTAAATTTCTAAATACCCTCTATTGGTATAATATTATAATAGTATTATCACTGTATCGATGAAATTATCTGAACTATACAATTTTCGATCGCAAATCTGGAAACCATTAGGAACGATAAATCATTGCGGATGAAATCGGCTGAATCGACGCAAATATATTAGTTTGCTATACTTTTGCATCCCTTCAACTGTCTCGCTTTAATTTTCTCTAACAAAATTCAACGAGATATATTATTATTGAAACTGTTCAAAGCATCGAACAATTTTAATCTGTATAGAATTTTTAGAAATATAAATAGATTTTTAGTTGATTTCTATTGCTTCACTCAAATTACTGGAATGTGGAACTGTCTCGTTATTACAGCAACTTCGATCAATTCTTATTCGGTCAAACATATCGACACTATATCGTCTGCTACTTATCACCGTTACCATTACCATCAAAGACATATCGAATTTCCAAAAAGAATTCTCATTATTCAACGTCCCGTTACTTCCGCAACAATTTATAAAACAACGAAACTAATCCATCGTCCAGGATCATTCCTAATCGTTGCAGGCGATACATAAAAAGAGGAAACGGCGAACAAACGAAAGGATTGTCGTCCTTTCCGCGATGCTAGTTGGAATCGACAAGTTCAACGAGTTTCGAAGTAAATTGCTACTAGAGATCCAGCTTGCTTGTAAACGTGAAAGTATACAGTTAATCTCGTGAAGTCGCGAGAGCCGAAGCGATACCAGCCTTGCTGATGGTGTTCGAGGCGAAGATATAGTAAGACAAACGACATCGCGGTCCAACCAGAGGAAACGGGGACACAGAACGATGGAAGAAGAAGATAAAGTGAGAACAAGAGGAAAAACGGACACGAAGGAAAGCTGGAGAATGGGGATGGGGTATTTATTCTGCGGCGAGGAACGCAACTATTTCATGGGTGTCGGCTCGGATGCCGTTGGTACAGCAGCGGTAGGATGCAACTACCCTTCTTCTCTCAGCCATCCAGCCTCATTGGAAAAGGCACATCGCCATTTACTATCCGAGAGTTCGCGACTCCAACGTCCCGAACCACTATTTATCCGCTTTTCTCCGCGATCACTGTGATTCTTTTATCTCTTGGAAAGAGTATTCCTCTTCTACTCGACAACGCTATTCTGTCCCTTTACTGGATCGACGTACACCATGATGGAATACGCTTCCTAGATGATAGATACCGGGAGCGTTAAGTTGAAATGATTTTAGAGAAGTGAAGCTTTTTTGCAAAGTGAATTATTTTAGATATTGGATGTATTGGATTGCATGGAAAGTTCGGAAAGAAATTGAGGAATATTGGAAATTTGGAAGTATCGTGTCTTTGTAAAGTTAGTGCATTTTGTTCTTTTTTTCTTCTCGATAGATTTCTGATATTTTTGGGGTAGCTTTGAAATGGTTTTTACAAGAACTCGTCTCTCTTAGAAAGGCAGTTTCTTGAAGCATGCTTTTAGACACTTTAGGAATAATTAGATCGTTTTTGTTATAATAAAAATTGTTTTCTCAAATTCGGAATGTGAGTAATACAATCAATTTTTTATAATTAAATAAAAGGTATCCTTGAATTCTTTCATAAAATACGGACACATATTTATAAATTATTTACAGCTATAGTATGTCATGATGATAATAACTTCATATAAATACAAATGATATTTCATCGCTTTTTGCTAATGAGCAAAAGAAACATTATTTCCATCTTTCATTATTGTATCATCATTCGTGTAATGCATGGTCATATTAATGTATATTATTTCGAAGAATGTTGCACAAGTCTTTAAATAATATAAAAATAGACATATTTGAATTTTTCGATGAAAAATATATTTATAAAATAATTTGATACGTAAGATACTTCTTAATTATTAATAACGCTTGATGTACTGCTTTAAAAAAAGAAGAAAGCGCTAACATATACTTCGTTACTCAACCTAACATATCATTGCATTTTGTCTTCGAAATGAATTAAACACACCACATTCTAGCAAAATTTTCTCTTTATTCCCCGACATATTACTTATTACCTTCCTTGTATGTTATACACTAAATTACTCACGTACGCGAAGTAAGCCATCGAACATACGCGTATAGGCGGTTGAGCATTGTAGCCAGTAAATCGTG